TTCCTTCAGGACGTTCCATCGGTTCTAAAAATTCCGGTTGGTTCAAGTCTAGATGAAATGCCTGCTGATTTGAGGGGGCATTGTATGATGTCGTTGCATTTGGTGTGCCGTGAAAAACGGCCTCAATAAAAGCGAAAATGGAGAAAATGTCTAATTTTGCTATCGACACTGGTTTTGCAATGTATACATTGATACGGTAGAACAATTTCGTAATTGAGCCGTAGTCCAATAGCAAATCTTAGCTCGTCAGCGGGGAGCAATAAATAAAAGTTATCAGAGGGTATGTTATTCAGAACTCGTAACCGGATCCTTGGTATAATTAGTGAAAAACTGTGAGATCGTCGTCGTGAAAGCTCGATTTTAGATAAGCGACGGAGCCTTAGTTGAGTGGAATATCCCAGTATCTCTGTGAACATGAGGCGGTTCGTGGAGTATTTGGGACAACGGAATTTTCCCAAATGGTCTAGGCTTCAACTAATAAGGGGTCAGGGAAGTTAGATAGATGACTAATGTGTGGGTCAGATGAAATACGGGGGGCGATGAAACCACTAATGGAAAGAGTTAGAGGTGAGCGTAAGCCGATACCCCCGAGCTTGCATAGAAGTGATGCTTGTAACCATGAATTATGGTTAAAGCGGAGATTAAGGTTCTCTTCAGCAAGAGATTTGACGGAGATTTCGAATGATTTTAATGATTCGGGGAATTTGAAAATTGAGGTGGATCGAAGGGCATAACGAATTTTAGGAATGTAGTAAAAGTTTTTGAGGAGAAAAAAAGCATGAGGAAGGAGAAACTTAGAGATGTTTTGAAATGAAGTAATCAAGATGATGCGTTAGTGAAGAAGTGATTGATGAATTCCAGACCATCGACTGGAGAGCCGAGATGAGTGAGGGATAAGAGTTCGGTTGTGTGGAAGTTGTGGATAAATAGAATGGAGGGACAGATCTCGGTTTTTTGTTCGTTGAATGAGAGTACGATAGCATGGGAATATGTTTTGATGATGGCGAGTGCCTTAGTAACCTCGTTAGGGGGACCGCAGTGTATTCCGTCGTCAATTTGACCATTTCATTGATTCCAATGCCGAAAATTATCAAACCCAGAGGGTCGCCTTGTTGGATCCCTTCTGATGATGAAAGTAAATAGTTGTTGAATTGGAGATTAGATGGCATGGAATAGCAGGATGGAAGAATTGAGAAAAGGTGGGAAATGAGTGGCACATTTGTGGGAGAAAGTGAGAGCGGCGAATGGAGTTGAAGGCATTAGAGAAATCAAAAAATAGAAAAAAAAAATATATAACATATTTTTATCGAAATAAATTTATTTAAATTTAAAGAAAAGAAATCCTAAAAAATATTAATATTTAAAATTTTATGAAAGATTTTTTATTCATAAAAAATCCCAAGTTTTTACAAAAAATATTTGGATTAAAAATAGTTAAAAAAATTTTTTTAAATTAATATTTTTTTACGTAAAATATATTATAAATAAACAATAGATTTCTGTTTAAACATTGCTTGCCCCTTCTTTTCTTTATTATATCCCTTTAATCGAATAATATATATGCTTTGTTTAAATATTTTTGTTTTTATTAATATATTACATACTGTAATAGATGGATTTATTACTAAGCGGGTTATGCTAAGGCTTGATGTAGGTTAGGGTTATTAAGCATAATATTAGATTATAACTTGTTGACCGTATTAGCGATTAGCTCATGGCTATACAACAATAATAGTTAGGAATGATATTAGATGAAGAGTAATATTATATATTTTATTAGACACCAAACTCATTACATTGTGTAAAATCTAACAGATTCTTATGCTTTTATTACCTAAAAAACTAATATAACACATACATATCATAGTCTACTAAGTATAATTCTAAAAAAGAATTTATTAAACATCTTAAATTATCTTTAGAGCAGATGATATTTTAAAATAATACCTATTGTATAAAAACTACTAAAAATGATTGCAATCATATTTTTACAGGAAGATTTTAGGATTAAAAAAATTTTCAATAATTAATTGGTGATTTAAAAAAAAGGAAATAAAGAAATTAAATATCTCAAAATGATATGGCAATTTTAGGAGAGTTACGTCATCTTGTTTATAATTTTGTTTTAAAATATATTCGCTAAATTTTTCTTTATACCTATTACTCTCGAATTATCACATGTTGTTATTAGCTCCCCTATCCCAAACTCCTGAATTTTTTAAAGAATTTAAAATTTTTGAATGACCATTACCTAAAAAGTTTAAACAATGAAGTAAATATCTAAAAATGAAAATAGTATTTATTAAATTTTATAAGACAAAAAAATCACAATTTATTAAAATCTAAATAAGGACACTTGCCTTTTTTTATTAAATACTCTAGCCCGGGCTATATTTTCTTAAAAATGATAGGGCCCAATTACTAATTGCTATCTTTTATGGCATATATACAAATTTACATTTCTTTATCACATTGATATCAGAAACAAATACGCTACTAATTTATTCTATGGATTGATATCGATGACATAGAATTGGAAACAATGACAATAACTGAAAGCTTTATATTGAAACCTAAGAAAATTAGGCATAAGTAGATGGCATATTAAATTATATGTCAATTGAGTAAAAAGCAGAGTACTATCAATTTAATATTTGTCTACCTCGATTAGCAGGGAGCCAAATCTATCGTTCCAATATTAATATAGGGTCATTCGAAGAACACTAAAAGATAAATCTATTTATCTCCTTCTACTTTCATAATTCAAATGTAAAAGGTTCATGATTAATCAGGTAGCACTTACAAATCTGCAATTATTATTACCGCAGAATCCTTTCGAATCTATTTCAGATCTTGATAGAGAAAAAATTAAATATTTAGTAATGATTGTGAGGATATTAAAGTAAGTCTAGCTGAATTCAAAGTATGGCATATAAGGTTAAATATGGTTTATTATATTCCAAAAATGCTATAGATGCTCGCATAATTTTAAACATATTTTCGACTATTTTCCTAATATATAAATTTATTTTATATTTTGGCAACTCTACTTATTAGTACTTCTACCAATGGAGAATATTTTCTTCTTTAACAAGAGTAAAAACATATCTGAGCTGAGAAGTAGCGTTGTTAAATGGTTCAATTTTTAAAAAAAGTTAACTCAATATTTTAGCTAGAAAAGAGTTTGGCTAATAGATGTCCAAACATTTTAGCCATCTGTGAGCAAAATCTTCAGGCTTGTGATACATTTTTATGAATAAAATATTGAATTACGCTGCATTTATAGTAAACGCGTTATCTTTAAGCTTTGCTTTATTTAACGCAGTGTATTATCAGATGATTCAATTTTAAAACTATTTTTAAGATAAAGGTAAAATAGAAATAATTATTTAATACAGTATACAAGAAAAATCATATATCTTTTTTCGAATTCACTATTATTTTTATAATTGAATCGCATATTTTTTTTACCAACTCAACACAACATAATGTTCTTCAAATTTTATCGCAGTGTTATCATCATAACACTCCATATTTATAAATTTATACCTATTTATTAGCTATATTTTGTAATAACCTACGATAAATGACGCAACGCTGAAAGATAACGCGTTTACTGTAAATGAGGCCTTAGCCGTGCTTAAATCGACTCAAATCAAGATGTTTAATCAACACTACGGAGAAGTATAACCTCTGAAAATAGATTAAATAAGTGCATCCCGTATATACATAGTCGACACCAAGCACTTAAAATCATTGAAAAATTAGCTCAATCCCAAATCTGAATTTTGCATTATAATTTATAATATGCTTTCTAATTATATTCTTTCCCATTTTTAAATACACCATATTTTTGTTCAATATTTTATATGTTTATACACAGTTAATAATTCTTAAGAATATTGTTTTAATCTATATTTCAATTTATAGATCAAATTTTAAATGCTTAAAAAATTTATACATTATTCTAGAAATTTCTTTCGTACATTTATTTTATAGTGATTCATACTAGTGATCTACATCGGGTATAATTTATCAAGAAAAATATATCAATTTATTAGGCAAAATGTAATATCATATTTAAAAATTTAAGCCCGACCCGACTTAACTCGAAATTTTAAAAAAATATAAGGCCCGACCCAGCTTAAACTGAAATTATTTCTTAAAAATAGACGTGATTTAGATTTTAAATTCATACATAAATTATACCCTTTAATATTTCATCATTCATTTGAATTTGTACATTAGAAATTGTCAATATTTTATAGTAATTAGTCCTAATACATTTCCGAAACTTAAGATATTTTTTTAAATGACTCCTAGAATAATGCTAAAAAAAAAAATTACCCCTCCCCCTTCCCCCATAGAGAATTCCTACGTATGCGCCTGCCAAATTATAAGAAATTAGAAAATTATAGATATATAGAAGCTTAGCCTATGACTAAAATTTTGATGTTTTTATTTTTTAAAAAAAATAATTTGATTTTCGCCATAATTGCATTTGCTAATAACACAATTCTGGTGTTTTGTAAAAAAATAACCAACGCAAATGCTTATTTTTATGAAAAAAACAATGTGGCTAGATAGAATTTATACCAAGTATGAGTGATATGCGTTTACAAAATCTTTAAATGGGAAATATTTTTTAATAGTAATTAAAATTAGTGATATATATTCTATTAAAATATAGGAATGATAATTTAATTTAAGAATCAACAACATGAATAAGGATTTTAAAAAAAATATAAATTCAGTTTTAAGTGGGTCGAGAGGTCGAGTAACGCCGATCACATCAAACACCAGACAATTAAAATTAAAATTGCAAAATATTACCCTTCATGAATGTGACACTCGGGTAAGAAGATCGTGTCGAGATTGATCTCAGAGATATCAAAATATAATCAAAAATTATAATATTATTATTAGTTTTAAATGAAGTTAAATATATTAAACTTTATTCTTTTAAATATAAATACAAATTTATACAAGTAATTGCACCACGTATAATATTTGAGAGTTCATGTAAGGTTTTAGGTATAAAAAAAGTGGATATACAAAAATATACAGATTTGTGATATCATATTCTATATATAATATTATATTGTTGAAGATGCATAGATGCTTCATGTTTTTTATGTCTTCATTGGAAACAACAATACCCTGAGTGATTACCAAGAAATAAATTGTGGACATTAGCTTTCATCAGCACAAATCTAAATTGTTACGCATTAATATTATGTGAATAAGAGTAAGGGAAGGATTAAATTTCAAATCTAAATCAAACCATCAGTCTTTATATCAAAATTTACGAATTTCATATGAAAGTAATAAGAAAAAATTATAAAATTATCTGTAAAAACAAAATTGTAATAATAAAAAATATACTATACTTTACATTAAATTTAAAGAATTTGTTCCAGAATACTCTATTGCCATCACTGTGACCGATCGTAGTACTTGCATTGTTCGTATTATTAAGGGCAGAGTTTTTTGGAGGATTATTATTGGATACGGTAAGCTTTCTATTGTGACGACTAAAAATTCGACTCAGAAAGGCCCGATTTCCGATTTTGCTTCGTTTCGACCATCGTTTGCCGTTGTAGATTTCCTCGTCGGATGAATTGAGGTCGGCTGATTCGGGATTTTTGGTGCTATATATGTTGAGTTCTTGGAAACATTGCGTTTCTATCATCTTAAAAAAATGTATACATAAATTAATAAGATTAATTCGAGAGGAATGTGGCGTATTTGTTTTACAAAAAAACATCACATTAATGTCACAGTTTGGATGCTGAATCAAAAAGGGTTCTGGTTCCTAAAATATTTTAGGGGTACTGGGTTGTCTGTAAAAAAAACTCAACCTAATCTAGTCGGGTTATTATAATTAATTTTTATTTGGGTTGGGAGATGTTTTTTTCCAGGAAGGGGGAGGGGGTGGGTGTGATTTGGAAATATTAACATTGATATCAACATATCAGGCTTATATTGTATATTATCTTATCAATTTTTTTAAAATATATTTTTGATTTTCTGATTGGGGAAAATGCAAAAAATATGTCTTTTGCAAGGTCTATCGTTTTAGGTTCTAACTCCGGTGAATTAAGCGATGAAAAAAAATACAAAATATTTAAACAATAAATAAACTCTCTTATATGAATCACCAATCAACATCTTGAACAATATAATATAAATTAGTTGCACTTTTATTATAGTGTTGAAACGGTTCGATTTTTAAAACCGCTAACTCAATATTTTATTCAGATAAATATAATGCAAGCCTAGAGATTTTGCTCATAAATGGCACAAAAGTTTGGACGAAATCTCGAGGCTTTCGTAATATTATTTTGGTTAGAATTTAAATTTAAAATTGGCTAAATGGTGCCATTTAACAACACTATTTTATTATAACTGTCGCTTATAACATTAAAGTGTGACTCCAAGCTTCCAGTTCCACAGTGTGATTTATACTTTATAAGTATTAGAGACGTAAGATCGATATAAAAAATTGTTTAAAACTTAGAAAATTGTTTTATGTTATGTAAAATGGCCACTAAACTACAAAGAAAAAATTAATCAAACTTCTTCTTGCCAAGGACCTGATACAGCACCGGTGTCAAATTTTTTATAGAATTGCGCGTCATTTTCGTCGAAAGTTATACCTTTAACGGAGGAGAATTGGTCTATATCCAAAATATCTTTACAGTATACGGCTCTTGGCTATAAATAAAAAAAAAGATAGGATTATAGGAAGATAGAGAATATAAAGCTAAGAATGTAAAATATACGAATTGGGTATACTCAACAACTTCACAAGCGAGAGAAAATTTTTTGGAGACAAACCTCTAATTTACCATATCCTCTAAAATTATTTTTTAATACCTGACTATGTATAAATATACCCCCCCCCCCTAGAAATATATGCAGAGGCAAATGTCTTTCACCCCAAGCATTCATGTAGACGGGTATGTTGGGTATATACTCCATTGGTTTTGTCAAATATTTAGCAAAAAACAGGAGGAATGAGAGAAGGAATGATGAAGCTGGACTGAGAGATAGAAATGCAGCGGCGGATCTAGTAGAATTTTTTGGTAGTAATTAGAAGTCTACAATGGGTGGTTTAAACAAGCAAGCCCGGCAATTAGTTGTTTTTAATTTTTTTTAACATGCTCATCAATACTTTTTTAAATCACCCGCCTGCCAGCTCATTTATCTAAAATTTTGTTTGACCTGCCGGCCCAATGTTAAAAAATAATTACTTTGAAAAACTAAAACAACTTGCATGTTAGTCATCTGATACTTCAACTTATTTTACCACAAACATCAATTGGTTTAATCATACCTATATACAAAGGGTAATCTTACAATATTAAAGAGAAAAATATGTGTTCAAAAGTTGTAATAATATTTTTAAGAAAATATACATCAGGCACAAAGTCAGGCGTAATTTTTCCGGCTTGTAATTTAGCCATATTAAGATGTGAAGCGAAAAATGGGTGGCTAATAATTTCTTCAGTTTCATCTTTAGATCCAAGTCTGGATTCCGGAGCTTTATTCAATAGCTTTTAAAGTTATATTTTAAAATAATATAATTTTCCGATTTAAAAAAAAATTATATAAAATACGTTTAAAAAAATAATGAAATTAGAGCGCCTTCACGTGCATAATGACCACTATTTCTGACATATAGATTAAACGATTTAATTTGGAAGGTACAAAAGATTAGCCTTAACTTTTTAATCCGCGTTGATCAACCTTAGACAGTGTAGAGGGATTTTCTTTTAAACACCTTGCCAGTCAAATTACAATTATAAGAAGGATTATTTTATTTATTATCCAAAATTTATTTTCAAGGGAACATATAGGACTGATGAAAAGTCAAGGAAATCTTGGCCAAAAGTGATGTAAGAACACTATAAGAATCGAAGGACAATAAATATACATCAGAAAAGTGGGTATGACGGGGAAAAAACGGAGAGCTTTCTATCATTTTAGAATGATTTTGTAAAATATTTAAATAAAATTAACCTTTTGGCATATATCTTTAGATTCCGGATCAAATCTGTGGCTAAAATATATTTCGAGGTCTCTGATGCTGCGTTTATTGATTTCAGACTTGTTCGCCTTTTCCTTGTAACCTCTAAATGGGGACTTTAAAATTAATCGCGATAAATTTTAATAAAAATGTGAAATAATTTTTCTGTTATAAAGAACCTTATAAAAATCATAAATTAAATTTTTTTTAGCATGTAAAAAATAAAATCATATTTTTTTTAAAAAAAATAACTATATTATGGCAAAACAATATTTTTTTTGTTAAAAGTAGAAAGAAGATGGAAAAAAACAAAAAAAAGAACTAAAAAAAATAAATATATAACTTAAGAATATAGAAAGAAAGAAATGCTAACTTTTTAAAAAAATATGTAGAAAATTGAAAAAGATATGTCAAAAATAGAAAAGGGATATGAGAGCCAGCTCCACAAATAAACCAAAACCGAAAATGGGGAGGGGGAGAATTAAAAAATAAAGACGGTAAAAAGGAATAATTAATCAATACAATACGAATTCTATTTTCATAAAACACCTTTCCATCTATCATTTCGTATACCAGGCATCCCATACTCCACCAATCAACGGGAAATGAATATTCCTGATCGAGCAATATTTCCGGGGCCATATAACCCACAGTGCCCACTTTACCCTTGACAGGGAGATCTGGGCTAGAATGAACGGCCAATCCTAGGTCCGATATCCGCAAGTGACCTAAAATATTTGAGGGGAAAAATATGGTATAATTATTAATTCAAATAATTAGATGTCCATAATATTTAGATCAAAAACCTAGTATATTCAAATTGCCGGGGAAAAATATATTTAAAAAGTATTAAATGCTGTATTCTTACCTTCGTGGTCCAAAAGGATATTTTCTGGTTTGAGATCTCTGTATATGGTATATATTATAGAAGAAAAAATTTATACAGTCAAGTTTCAATTTTTCAAATTTATGGTACCCTCTCGAGGAACTTTATGAGCGGGTTAATACTATGATAATCATCGTAACTATAGAATAGCATAGAAAAATTTCTGACCACCAAAAAAAATTATGAAGTGATTTTATGCACTTTACATCCTCAAATGTGAATTGTAGTTAAAAAAATATATAAATATCACATAAATTATGTTATAATGTCGTCATTTATTAAAAATGATTAATTATTTTATTTTTTATCAATAAATCCTTGTAAAATATTAAGATTTATAGGTAAGCAGAATTCGAAAATTCTAATTGAAACAAAATACTAAAAAAAAAAATTATCATTCTGAAAAATTATAGATATAATGTAAAATGAAAGGGCAAAAAAGATTATTTATTACAAGTATTACAAAGCCAATAATTTCTTTTTACATATTAGAGTATTATATTTTGGACATTTAAAAACAAACCAATGCAAAATTGTCACAACAAAGCTGACAAATTAGAGATTATTTATATTAAAAATCCTTGGTAATTTTTTGCTATATTTATAAGAATTAAAACTGAATACCAAGCATCAAAAAACTTTTTTAAGATATTAATATTAAAATATTGATTATTCAGAGGTTTCATTTCATTCGTAGCAACAAAGTCTTTTGTCTTTTGATATAAAGTTCTTATTGTTGTTAATAATTACACAACACATCAAAACGATTACCGCTTTATTTAATAATAAAATAAGCAAGTTTATATTTGTCATATACTTATTTTTCAAAAATAATTTTAAAAAATACACCAAAAATATTTATAGTAATAACTTGATTTTTTTCTTTTATATATTTTAAAAAAAGTAGTAAAAATAGTCTTTTTTTGAAGGAGTAAATATAATATTATTTAAAGTAGTAAATTATACTATTTTTTTAACGTAATAAAAATTGTATTTGCAATAATTTATGTTTAATATTTTTTTAAGAAAAATTGGAAGGGAAGCAATACTTCCCATGCTTCTATGGACGCTTCGTCACTGATTAATATGCACAAGTATTAATATTAGTCTGTTCATTGCTAATTCTTATTTAAAAAGTATAATTAGCGTAATAAAAAAGATAGAAATAATATTTTGTTCGAGATATGCAATTTAATAAAATAAATCCGATCCCTCCATTAACCCCCCCCCCTTTCCCACACACAATTTTGTGAAAAGATCGGTTACGAACCTGATGGAATCATTAGAAAAATTATTTATTTTATGAATATATAGAAATTTCTTTATAAATGCCAACACCACTATGTCATTAAAAATCTTTATCATATATATATATATTTTTATTTAAAAAAATTAAAAAGGTTTGATGGGCCTACCTGTACAAAATGCCGTTTTTGTGCATATGAATAAGTCCGGAAGCAATTTCGGCGGCATAGAACCTTGCCCGATCCAAATCAAAGCCCCCCGGGCCGGGAAATGTATAGTTAGCCCTATTCTTAGATATGGTGGAAGATTTTCCGGATTTGGGTACAGATTCGTTTGATTTTTTAGAGTTTAATTTTCCTTCTTTGTGGTTTTCTTTGACAACTTGATCATTTTTGGTGGCATTGGAAGGAAGGGAACTATGCCGGGATGAAGGGTTTAAGAAGGAAGAGATGGAGCTCATAACGGAATTTTTACGCAAAGAATTTAGGGAAGATAAAGAACGACGTTCCGGTGTAGCTAGAGCTTTTATAATATTGTAAAATATAGACAGATAATGGAGAAATGAATTGATAATTAAAAAGAGAATAGATATCCAACAAATTTATATATAAGGATAAAGAAGAACATAATATTAACCGTCCTCTGGGTTCAGCATATTTTTGTCCAAGCCATTATCATGATTTGTGACAGGAGTCAGCTTTTCCCCCATAGACTGTAAAAAACTTTGAGAGCTTCTGACCTCTATCATGGTTTGTAAATGAAACTTAAGATCGCCACCGTTCATAAGGCTGAGGATTAGGCAGAGGGCATCTTTAGCTTGAAAAGCGTATGCTAGACTAACCTAAATAAGAATACATGTTAAAAAAAGATTTAAGAAGGGAAATTAGATAGATTTTTCGTAAGATATGCTTAAAAAACATATTATGGGTATTTTATATGTTGGCGTTAGAAGGGAGGGGCAGAGGGCTGCTAAGTAGCACAAAATTAAAAATATTGCATGGTATTTTATAATTAAGCTTAAATTCATCAAAAAAATTTTTTAAACAGCCCTGAATTAAAAAGGGTATCTTTAAGGCAACCCTATATGGTCAGAGCCGTTAACGCCATGGATTGATATTTATTTAGACGTGTGACAATAATTTATATGAGTATATTATCAAAAAATTTGCGATGAAAATATTCATCCCGAAAAGAAAAATAGGAATAATAAATAAGTACCACAAATCTAGAATCGATCTTTTGCAGTATCATTTTCTCGTCAAGTGTCATGCGTTGAGCGTGCTTTTTCTTTATCCTTTTTTTGAGCATGGTTTTGCAAGCGTACATTTTACCCGTAGATCTGTGTTGACACGCGTTCACTTCCCCGAAGCCACCTTTGCCCAACACTCTAAACATACGAAAATCTGCGAGTTCTACTGGGCGCCTTATGAGTAATTACAAAAATATAATTTTTTATAAAATTATATAAAAAATAAGTGATGATTGCTGTAAAATTTTACTTTTTTAAATGTAAAATTTATTTCCATTAAATTTACAGATAATGCCCTGGTGTTTAAAATAGGACTATGAACCAAAATTAGAGTTCAGAAATAATTTCGTTGAACATTTTGAGACCACATATCAACGGGAATCCATTTATAGGCAACCTATCGAACCCTGGGTAATATAGACCAGGTGGGTTAAGAGACTTTCCAGAATATCGGTTCCGATTAAGTTCCTGTTATAAAAATTTCTGCTAAATATAGTTAAAAATTTCAAAACCTTAATTCGGGTTCACAGCATTAAGATATTACCCCAGGTGCGTAACCGAAGGGGTGAAGGAAATTTTTCCTATCGCAAATTTGTCTATTTCTTTGCTTGAACAAAAAATATGTCTAAACTACCATAAAATTAAATTTTAATGGTACTGAGGGTTTGTGGCTCAAAGGTTAATATGAGTTTTTTAAGAGTTTTAAATTTAATTTTGCTTGAAATTTGAATATGGTAAGAAAGCATATTAGAAAAAAGAAACAACTAATAAATGATGAGATATGAAAATCCGTCCTTGCTTGTAGTTACGGAGAAACAACTTTAGGTTATGCAACAGTAAAATGATTAATCAATATTAATGAAACAACAAGATTTAATTGTCTACAGACTCAAGAAAGCGAAAGAAATATCTAAAATGTTTTTGGACCTTTGAAAGCTCTTTTTTTCGGAAGGATACTATTGCAATTTTAATCCATTATGTATTTGTTTAAATTTGTCAATATATTCCACTAATTTTTTATAAATATTTTCCATTATGGCTTATTTTCAACAATAAAGTAGTTGCAAGAACATATATATCATTTTTATATTAAAATAATGTAGTTCAAAAGAGCCTGACGGGAAAGCTCATCCTTTCCCAAATATTTTTTTCGGAAAAATTAATAGTTAAAAAAAGTATAATTTTTTTAAAAAAATTATTTTTATGTATAGCATAAAAGTAAATATGAGGAATAAAATGAGATATTATTTATTCAATATTATCAAGTAGTTTTAATTTTATTGAAGTTTGACTTTTAGGGAACGCATGCTCCCCGGTCTCCCCTAGTTCCCGATTTAGCAGGAAAATGCTAATAACTATTGATTTTTTATAAACTAACACTAGCACACATCTGTATTTTGGCGATTACAGGCAACAATATAGCTTTTGCAATAAATAAAAAATTAACGTAAAAAAATTACTTTTCGAGATATTTAAATTGCAGATATCGCTCAAAATATTTGCTCAATAGAAATTGATGGAACGGGGCCAGTGATAAGCGTTCGAATACTAGTCTAAAATTTTAATTTTTTAAAAGGTTATTATGGAAAAAACATTAAATATATTCATTCTTTCATTTTTTTTCTCTTTATTTTTTTACCCCATATTACCACCACATTGTTGTTCCAAAAGAATCTATTATCCTGATTATTTATTTACTTAGAGCCGTGATTAAGCAATTGCACGATTTGATCCGACGTCAATTCTTTAAGGGATTCCATATTTTCAAGGACCGGCTCCTTTGGAGGATCGTTTTGGACTGGGTTTAAGCCGTTTTCAGTTTTGAAGACGTAATCAGAAGACTTTAAATAAAAGAAAATAAATATCTTTGCAAATTCGTTAAAATTATGTCAGTACTAAAAAAAAATCTGCATTCAAATTATTAGAAAGGTTTGTATAAAAAAATGACAAGAAAAGCTACTTGATAATTTTGATTAATTCAAGGAAACATGACCATTCCTTGGCACAGAATTATTTGTAAAAAATTTACCTTGGTAAAAAAGATTAAACTCTCACTCAAAGCCATCTGATCTTCCTTTTAAAAAGTAAAATCGACCAATGACATGTTAGTTTTTTTTTATATTATGAAGAAATACTCATGTAGTGTTGTTAGACAGCTCGATTTGAGCCGATTTTTCAAAATGGCTAACTAAAAATTTTATCTTGAAAAATAATACTTAAGTTCGAAGATTTTTCTAATATAAAAGTTTAAGGAAAATATTAGCCAAATCTCGAGGCTAAGGTAATATTTTTTTGGGTAAAATATTGAGTTAGCCATTTTAAAAATCGGCTCATATCGAGTCGCTTAACAAGACTATATTTTAATGGGAAAAAATAAATTAAATTAAAATCTAAGAAATTTGGAAAAACATTAGAATACAATTGATCTCCTAGACAATCTAAAATTTTCTTTTTTAAATTAAAATTTCAAACCGAAATCACAAGGTATTTGCCGAGAATTTTCAGGCCCAACGAGTATTTGTCCTCGATGTTAGCTAAATCGAACTCATCCTAATATATAAAGGTAATCATATTTATTAGAAATCGAAGGAATTATTCGCGAATTTAAAATATTTTTGCTGAAAAAATCATTGATCATTTCTTCTATCAAGAAAAAAAAATATTAGAAAGGCATTAAATAAGGGTATAAGGTAGTATATTAAATATATATTTTTTTTTAAAAAGCAGCTTGCAGCACCAACCTTAGAGTCTAAAAACTTAACGTATCTCGTTCTAGGATCACCCGTCGTTGTGTTGGCTGTTTCGGCTGGATCATTGATGTTCGTCACTTGATCGACTTTACAAAATTGCCGGAACAATATCTTGCCTATAGGCTGTTTATTGTAGATGTAGTCTAGGGTGAGGGCTATTGAAACATTATTCGAAGAAAGAATATTTAATCAAATTTTAATTATGACGCGTCTGAATGGTTTCATAGGTTTTTTTTAAAAAAAAGGAAGAAAGATTAAGAAAATAAAATATAGTACCCTAATTAAAAAAGATCTTAAAAATTCTCAATGTAATTACAATTAAAAACATTGACATTTAATGGATACCAAAAAATATATTAATTTAAAAAAAAAGGAAAATTCATCTTGATTATTATTTAAAAGAAGAAGATCCATAAGAGATCAATCATCAAACTATCTTATACATTGTATATGATGTATACACGTACAAAGAATTGATGGTTGCTAGATTTCATGATTTAGTAGTGATTATCATGTTTTCATGTCACATTTAAAAAAACAACTTTTTAACATCTCATTTTCAACATTTTAAATTATGAAAAAACATTAACTAATTATCAGAGACCTAAGTATCATTTGCACGGCCCGGCCCGGCTCAAAATAAATTTCAGACCCGGCACGAATTTTTTACAAATATATTTTATTTATTTTTGATTTTTATAGCTAATAATGGCGGCCCGGGCTTGATATATTAAAAAAAAATCATAATACGGCCCGAACTGGGTAGCCTGGCCGGGCCTGCAGGTCTCTGCTAATTATAAAATATTTTTTTATTGTACGCGACATTAAAAAAAATTAATTATAAATTCTCAAGTGAATTGTTATTTTCATTTTAGTTCAGTAATTAGATTCCATTTATGTTTCAACACAATCCAGATATCTATTCGATGACCAAGTGCATTTATATTTAAATATAATTAATACTAGTAGAAGAGATAAATTTATGGATATCCGATAGAAGGCCGGGAAATGTAGAGGCTACCCCCCAAAAGGGGGTGATTATGACGAAGCCCCCCCCCCCCCCACCCTATTTATTAAGGTCATGTATAGGAGGGGCAAATAATGTTTGGGCTGATCGCATATACAAATGAAATATTAGAAGGGAAAGATAACCTAGAATTTAAATATTTGTAATAAAGATATTTAACTGCTGAATACAATCCAATAGTTTCCACGAAGTTCTCTTCAGGCTAAAAAAGGCGCTCTGAAGAGGTATTAGAATGAAGTTACTAAAAAATATAATTGCATATCCAGTTAAAAAAAACTCCATCCATTTTTCTTTTTCTTTCATTTCTTTTATTTTCAAACGATATGTATTATATTATAAATATATCATTTTTTCAAATGTAAAATCAAAATCGATATTCTGATCTTTAAAAGATTCAATTAAATTTGAACCATCCATTGAAGGTTTTATCAAGCGCCATAGTAGTTTAATGAATAGGGTTATTAAATCATATTTTGATTCCAAATAATTTAAGATTGTTAATAAAAATTTTATAAAAAACTTCTCCCTGTGGGGGGAATGGGGGGGGGGGAGGGGTGTTCTTGAAAATGACGATTGTTTTATTATTTTAAAATTTATATAAATATTGTGGTATAGCCGCGAATTATATAAATTCCCGATTATTTATTGGTTATCAGATAAAACATAAAAAACAGAGGATTCAATTAAAGAGGGAATTGAATTTCTTTATTTAGAAATTTCTATTTTTATAAAAATATAAAAAACATGACTTGCGTATTATTTTTTATAGAATGTGCTAGATTTTATGGTATATTTCTAAAATTTAATAAATTTGGTAAAATTATGGTAGATTTCGACTTAAAAAAAAATTGTCGCAGTCTCTTCGTCAATGTGGTAGATTTGCAACCTTGTACATGTACAATATTTTGATGTTATAATTAAAACAATACAAACCACGCTGTTTATCGCTAAAGAGAAATCCCTTATTAGGACAAGACCTCTCAACTACATTAATTTTGGTATTTGTGGAAGAAGTGGATAAATATATAATTTTTTTTTAAAAATGGTTAATAAAAAAATTTTAAGGTAAAAAAATGTTATCAGAAGGCAGGTAATGAGAGATTTTTGAAGGATTATAAAAAAATTCAATTATCGGAATTTATTTATAAAAAAAATTAAAATAATTCCCCAATTAATTTGCGCGCTTAATAAGAGAAGAGAGGGAAAATTTATTAACTATAATTAGAGCTAGTTAAAAAGATTATAATAATTTATCCCCCCCCCCCCTCCAATTCCTTTTCAAAATAAAGGTATTAAATTATAAATCTATTATTTTCTTACTTTTTTATTTTCGAAATACTAAAGAAGAATGAAATATATTAGATGTAATGTAATTTTAATAAAATAATTAACGATTATTTTCGGTTCCCCTATTTCCTATATCAATCCACGGAGAATTAAGAATACAAAATAAAACAGAAGATCAAATCCTAGATTTGGAATTGACAAAAAAAAAGGAAGGGGGAGAGAAACAAATGATACTAGTGCTTTAGATCAGGTCGTCTCTAAGAAGCAAGGCTTTTTCAAAAACAAATACGAATGACATTATTTGTATATACGATTCATTTAAACGAAATAAATAAATTACTAGTCGCATTCGCGTGAATAATAAAGTTTTAATATTCGTATAAATAATTACTCTTCGTTTAATTAGGGTTTAGAAATTTAAAATTGTTTGGTTAATTTTGACAACACCAGTGACCGATTTATGAACAGCCCATCAAACCCAGTGTAATATAAACATGGGAAGGGTTAAAACCGCTGTAGGGAAAATAGGTATTGATTAAGTTCCTGTTGTCAAAATTTCTGCTAAATAGAATTTGAAATTTCTGAACCCTATTTGAAATCACATCCCTGGTTTAAAACGAATCTAATATCAATAATGCATTATTCGATTTTGAATAGGCCTATTAGGGTGAGGTAAAAACACGCTTACAAAAAATAGGAGCTAGGGACGTGACAATGATTATGCTTTAAAACAACTCTGAAAAATAGAAAATTTCCGGTCCGACAAGTCACAATTTTTTTACCCCGAATTGACCGGCAAATTTTGAGACAGGCAGGAATATTTTGTATAAGTTGCCCGGCATCTTTATTTATGTATTCAGGCCGGGTCGTGCTGACCTCTACTTTTAAAAAATTACAAAGTTTTTATTTTTCATTTATGATATAAAAGGAAAGCGATGTAAAATGTATTGAGTATGTTTTTTTTAAAAAAAATTATATTAAAATTTTCTAATTTATCGATTTATCGAAATATATTAACATTTATACCTGTATTTTGAATTAATTTTAATTTTATTTGTTTATTATTATAATGAGAGATTTTGGGATATAATATTTTATTATTAGTAAAATTTAAAATTACTATAAAATAATTGATAATGATTTGTTTAGTAGTTGTCAAATTTTATTATTTATAATTTTATAAAATTATTTGACTTTTAAATCTAAATTCTAAGAAACGATATTTTATTTTTAAAAAATTTGATTAAGATATTATTATAATTAATAGAAAAATAAGAACGAGAAGTTAATTAATATTTAATTAATTATTATAATTAAAAACTTTTTATTCACAAATCTGCCTGACTTTACTATATAAGATATAAAAAATAATAGAACCAGGCCGTAAAATGACACGTTTTTCCAAATCAGGGCTGGGGCTAAAAAATAGACTACAAACCCGGAATATATTTATTTTAGTCTAACATAACCCGGTCAGACCTATTTAATGATTTAAAAAAAATATATATAATTTTAAAAGACAAATTTTGCCTTCTCGTAAATTATAATATATTTCATTTTTCGAACTTTAATCGAGATATTAATGAAAACTACTCTAAATGAAAAGAATAAAATAAAATTAAAAAATCGTAACAGGTCTCACTTGAATTCATAGAAAGTGGCAAGAGAAATATTTTCATATAATACGAGAACCGTGTCAATAAAAAATTAACGAACACTTCATTATTTTTTTTAAAAAACTGTCAAAAATTTTACAGGAAAATATTGTTTATAATAGAAAAGTATTTTGATCCTTTATATATATACATACGTATTTCTTCTTTGATATGGCCGATAGTTTTAACGGGTGGTAACTCCAGCATTTTCTTCCATTTTTTGCTTCTCCCACCCTTTTTCGACATTTCACCTTTATTATTTAATTTTTGAAAGAAAGAAAATAATATAAATTTATTGAATTTTAAAAAAGATGAAACGAATTTGATATAAGACGCGAAGTTGTCCCTTTGGATAAAATCGAAAGCATAACTGAGTAGAATTTGGTAGCCTAATTTCTCCAAATAATTTATAATGCCCTCCTCGAAGCATAATTTTTGAAAATTTTCAGTATTCAAAAGATAGGTGGGGAACATACAAAAGTAAATGAAAAAGGATAAAATTAAATTAAAAGGAGGGGGAAGAAAGAAAAAGTTGATGGTGGGGGGGGAGGGGGTGATTAAAAAAAAGTCAGAAGTAAGCTAAAATGAAAATTACAAAATAAATGCGCTTAGAAAATGGGAAAATAAGCGTTAAAGGACAAAATTAAAGTTAATCAAAATAATATTCGTGTTGTAAAATAAAGTAATTACATCCATAATGCATGTAGGGGAGAAGAACCGTGATGTTTAGAATCTATATTTACCATAAAAAATATATTCATATTTGATTCCTTAGTATTCCGAGAACCAAAAAAATAAAAAAATGTGGAAGAATTTTTAAATATTTTTGTAGTTTTCTAGAAATTTAACTATAAAAATTAAGAAAGAATTTTAGAGGAACCCTCTTTTCTGGAACTTTTCTTAGTTTATTCGGGTTGGTCTACTGAGGGATTAAAAGTTAAAGAAACCTACAAAAAAATATTTATTTTTAGGCGTTTCTTATCCATGTATATGCAATCATAAAATAGTTCAATTATAATGGTTTAAACGAGGGAAAAAAAATAAAATTACGATTTTGTTACTATATTAAGCCATCATATGGATATTATTTCGCTTATTTTTAAAATTACTTTTTGGAAAAGATAAAAAAACCAATTATATCTCATATTCGTATTCCTAAATATGAAATTTATTAAATTTTATTTTGTTCTATAAAAAATAGTTATGAAGATATTGAAACATGATTTTAAATTAAAAGGAAATGAAAATCGCTGATTAGATATTGGAATTATATGATTCTAGAATATTTATTAAGTCTAGAGTATTGCAGAGGCAGGCCGTGGCATCAACAATAATATATAAGCAGGGTCCGTCGTCCGAAAAAAATATTAATGTTATATATACTTTTTGCATGAATGAATATTACTATTATAATTTAAAACATCAGGAGGTAAAAAATATTTAATTTATATTCACTTTCATATCATATTTCATGCTAAATAAAAAGAAAAGTAAATATAAATTTTAAAAAAATTGGGAAATATTTTCTAATTTCATTTTCCAACCGAAATTTTTGCCATCAGACATCGGGTAAGCTCGAGACAAAGAAAAACATATTTTGCAGGTCTCCACAGGAATCAATCCTGGATATAAGACTGCATTAAAGAACTTATTTTAAAATTTTATAAATTTTTTCAACTTTTATAAAATAAGAATTTTAAATTTAACGCCATAGCTCAGGCGCGTACGCAGCGGGGGGGGGGCAGGGGGACAAATCCCCCCCCCCCCCCAAAGCCAAAAAATGCAGATGCCGGATATATTTTTCAAAAATATTATTGTTTATATTAATTATATTTGTTAATATTTATTCCTATCTCATATTAAATATTTAATTACATTTATTATCACATTTATCTACTAAGTTATTTTATCAATTAATTTCGATTTTAAGTTTTCCGGCGTAATATTTACTTATTATTTTCAAATTTTAGTGGCGTAACATTTATCTACCATTTTCAAATTTATAGTCAAATAATAATTATTTATGAAACTTCTTGTCCATCAGGGAAAAAGAAATTGCAATCTTGTCCAACGAGATAGAGTCTCTGCCATCAAGCAGTAACAGCTTTTAAGGAGTTAGAAGAGCCAATTATTTGCTATTACTGAAATATCACAATGGCCTGAAAGAAATATTTCCTCAGAAGGGAGAAAATTATTGGATTCAATGCTTATTCCAAATTTTATTTCTCATTAGAATGTATTATTTAATTATACAATTATTTTAAGTATTACTTTTCAAAAACATGACATTGACTTGATTAAGAAGATGAGAATAGCGGAGAGCATTTTATCAGAACTCAAGGAAATTAGGGCTAATGTTGATGAAGAATTTCATATTTTATATTTTATTTAATATTTGTCTCCCTCAACTTATAACAAGGCAGGCTCATCGTTAAAACATTAATATAGGATCAGTAGAAGAGTATATCTTAAATACAGATACATTTATAACCCAAATAAATGAATTTTTAATTCATCCTGCAGCACTTACTAATCTGCAAATATTACTTCCACAAAAGCCTTCCCAATCTTTTTCAGATGGTGATAGAAAAAAAAATATTTGTTAGATTTTTATTATGAAGATGTTAAAGTATCTTATGATGCCTTACTAGCTGAATAACTATGTTTATAAGATTAACTATGGTTGATATAGTCCCAGCTATGGATGCTCTGCATTATTTCAAACATATTTTAGATTAAATTCCCAATGTATTAAAAAGGTTTATAAACTCTTCCCATTAGTAAACTAAGGAGAGAACATTCTCTTTTTTAAGAAGAATAACAGAGGCCTGCAGAAGTACCATTTGCAGGGCACGGCCCGGATTTTTTTAAAAGATTTTTTACGGCACGGCCTGGGTTTTTTTTAAAAATTTTCAGGCCCGGCCCGGCTTTTTTTAAAAAAAATTTTTAGGCCCGACTCGGCTTTTTTTAAAATAAAATTTTCAGGCCCGGCCTTGATTTTTTAAAAAATAAATTATACTTATTTTTGATTTTTATAGCTAATAATAACGATTTCAAATATAAGCTGTTTTAAAAAATACAGCCCGGATTGGGTGTTTTTTTAAAAATAATTCAAGCCCGGCTTGGGTGTTTTTTTAAAAAAATTTCGGGCCCGGCCCGGGTATATGTAAAAAAATTAAAATATTGTACGGCTTGGGAGCTGGGCCTGCAAGTCTCTGAAAAACATACCAAGAAGTACAACATCTGAAAGTAGATTGAAAGGTTTGGATGTGAATATTCATAGGCATTCGACGACAAGCAAGGATGAGATAATTGAAAAATTAGCTCAATCACAACGAAGATTGAATTTTACATTGTAAATATATAACATACAAAATGCAATTATTCCTAAGAAACTTTTTGTATAAAGGCTCAAAAAATTCAAATTTCTATTTTGGATCATTTAAGTGATTCTTTACATATAATTTTTTTATAATTCACATTAATTTAAAATTGTGTATTAGAAATAGTTATTAGTCCTAATAAATTTATGCTTGATAAACAATAATATTTCTTAAAAAATTTTATTATCCCCCCCCCCCCCAGACCAAATTCCTGCGTACGCGCCTGCCATAGCTGATATGATTGTATAGAAAGAAATAAACCAGAGATGCGCATATAATGTTAAATCACAGGGAGATCTGCAATGCAGGTCAGGTTGAAAAAAATTATTTAGACTGGACAAGGAATGTAAAAGGTAGAGATGCCCGCGGTGCTTAATAAAGAATAGAAAAAAAATGATTCTAAAGGTCTAATTTTGTTAAAATAATATATTTGACTTGATACTATAACCATATGATTTCTTTTTACTTTTTCCTATATTTTGTGTGTATTGCTATTATGATAATAAAAAAATGAAAGCGAAATCCTCATATTGGTTATTTTTTCATAGGATATATTTGAGGTTTAAAAAATAACCTGCTGAGCAACCTTAACAAAATATTGGAACGGGTAGGGTACAAAATTCCAACCTGGCAGGCTTCCGAATTTTGCCATTTGCAATCCTGTTACCTTTATTTAAAATGAGTTAAACTCAGTTCAAATTGTGCTTTTTCATCCCTTTTCTTTGCAAACTATAAAATCATGCAAATTCGTAAAAAAACTTTGTATTTCGCAAAATACATTTTTTAAATTTATTTTAGCGAATAATTTTTTTTTTGTTAATTTGCGCAATTCCCCATTATTTCCACCACCCTGACCACTTACAAGACAAATTACATAAGATTTATTAGCAGCCTCATCCTGAAGGACAAGAATTTTTATATAGATTTTGTAGATATATTTTGAGGATTTATATTCACACTATTATTAATTTTAATCATGATTCATGAACTAGAAAATATAATTTTATTATAAATATTTCTTTAAAAATATATTTAAAAATGAGCGAATCACCATTTAACATTAATATTCTACATAATTCATTTAAATTTTAAACTTGAGGATTTTTTTTTTAAAAAAGGAGATCATTTTTTTTCTAAGAAAATATTTTTTATAAAAAAATCTTATTTTGATATTTCTGAAGCTTATCTACGTTTCCCCAAATATCAGGCATATAAGTAATCACCCGAAAAAAGTTTTACGTCATGTTTCTCTTTTCTCAAGGATCATGAGGATTAGGTTGGATGGAACCAATGGGTAGATAGAATTATAGTATCAGATCGATATTGGTCCTAATTCCAAGGGATTTCAGATATCCAGTCGGGTTTCCAGTCTGATCTGAAAAGCCAGGGCTGTTCTGGATTAGAAGATATTCAAATTTCAATGCAAGTTAAATGAGTGTCCAGTGGTCCCTACACTTTCTGAGCGATGGAAGCAGAATATCCCCTCCCCTCCACCCTTCGATAAAATAGTTAATTATTTTTTGAAACCCATAAATTTCAAAAATATTTTTTATTGCATCAATCTTTAATATATAATATTATTTTTAAATTAATAATTTAGACAAATTAGGGCGAAAGAATTAATAATTTAGACAAATTAGGGCGAGAATTCATAATTTAGACAAATTAGGGCGAAAGAATTTATAATTTCATCAATATTTAATTGTTTAAATAAATTTTTTTCCATTGATAAAATGGTTATATTATTAAGAAATGGATCTTTCATGGTACTAATTGTTTAATTAATTTAATTTTAATCAAGTTTCGGCAGTATAGGAGGAAGTAGGGAATGGTTAATAAATATTTATAGAAAATTGTTAAATTATTTG